CAACAGTTTTGGATCATTTCGGCCAAACGCTCCATTCGGCGAGTACTAGCCAAATGTATTCGCTGCTGGAAAATCAGACCAAAACATCTGCAACCTCCGATGGGGGATCTTCCTCCTGGTCGTGTTTCACGATGCCAACCATTTCAACATGTTGGCATTGATTTCGCCGGACCTTTTCGAATTACTTTATCTAAGTCCCGAGGAGCCAAAACTTTGAAGTCCTACCTTTGTCTGTTCATTTGTATGGCCATAAAAGCTGTTCATTTAGAACTCGTTTCTGATTTGTCTTCGGCTGCATTTTTAGCAGCTCTCAGACGCTTTATTGCCAGACGTGGCAGACCCTCTGATATTTACTCGGATTGTGGTACGAATTTCATCGGCTCTTACCGAGAACTATCCATGTTCATGAAAGAGGCTTCCTCTAAAGAAGCCATTCTCTGGCATTTCAACCCTCCAGCGAGTCCAAACTTTGGTGGCTTGTGGGAACGGAATATCCAATCAGTCAAGACGCATTTGCTCAAAATCATTGGTGACCAACTCCTGACGTACGAGGAGCTTTCAACGGTTTTCATTCGAATTGAATCGGTCATGAATTCACGGCCTCTTATGCCTCTGAGCAACGATCCTAATGATGTCAGTGCGCTAACTCCAGGACACTTCTTGACTTTGACACCCTTAACAGCCATTCCAGAACCTTCTCTTCTGGATACTAACCCCAACCGATTATCACGCTGGCAGCTTATCCAGCAAATGCACCAACATTTCTGGCAGCGCTGGTCACGCGAATACCTGCATTCCCTTCATCAAAGGAGCAAGTGGTTGGATCCAGGTACCAAAATCTCTACTGGTACCTTGGTCGCTATCAAGGTCGACAATTCACCTCCACTACAATGGCCATTGGGACGGGTTCAGGAGGTATTTCCTGGGGCAGATGGGCATGTGAGGGTAGCCACCATTAAAACTGCAACAGGTCTTCTAAAGAGACCCGTGAGCAAGCTGTGTCCACTACCAATTGGGGATTAAAATGCTCCGCATTTTGGTGGGGAGTATGTCGCGTCCCTACGCTTTTTTTATGTTGTGTATGTCATATGTTTTGTCAAATTAACAAATTTGCAATATTCAAAATTATTTTTCGCGAAATAGCCTCAGACCTTACTTTTTACACAATCTGGCAACTTCTCGGAATTGGCACTGACCTTTCCAACGAAGAACAAAAGACGAGAACCAAAAAATTGAACAGAGTGTGTTTTTACCACGCCGAGTGATAAGGATACCTACCTATCTATACTAATATATACTTATCCATCTCGTTACCGAACCTATAATAAACCTCGCGAAGTGCGTGAGTTTTTTGTTTCTGTGGAGAACCTACCATAGATACGAACATCAAGATTACAGCACTTTGATCTCAGCCGGCCGGTCAGAAGAACGAAGATTTTGATCAGCCTGGATTATCACACCAAGGTAAGATCTGAGTGCTCGAAATTTTCCAAATGAATGGTGGCTCAATTTGGGGCCACGCGGTGACTCGTGGAGACAGCAGAGTGTGTTTAAAAATTTAGAAAATAGGTGATTATAAACATATGAGAAGTTCACTTGTGTAACTTATTGAAAATTCAGAAAATAGGTAATTTATTAATATATAAGTTTACTTGTGTAACCAACTACTTGAAAACCTTCGCTTGAAGTTTCAATTTGTAGAGGAATTATGAGACTACAATTTCGGCATATCATCAGAGACACCAGCAACCCATTAGACTTGCCTAATGGAACGTTTATCAAGAGCTATTTCCAAAAAAAATCACGATTTTTTTTATATTCGGTTTTAGGTTGTTTTCTTATTTCGGGACATGATTGATTACTTATTGCACCACTTGCACAACGACGACCAAATTCCCCAAATACAAACAAATATTCTGTCAATTTGAATAATATTGGACAGACTCATTTGGGAGGCAGTGTTGTCAACCTTTGGATTCACGATTATGGTACTAACAGCTTGAAATTATAGTACAATATCTGGAATTATGGTAAGCGCAAGCGCGCAGTCATAATGTTGGAACATTGCTCGTATTGACAATTGATAGATGATTCCATTATTCTTTTTGTTCTTCTCATTGTCAAGTTTGAGTTGAGCTATTGTGGTAACATCACATGTGAGATCACAGGTGAATTACACGTAACAAACGCCAGTGGAAAACTTTTTAAATCAACTGTGAAATCAGCAAAGTTGACGAATGTCATGTATCACCGAAAACAAAAATTGTACGGATACCACAATTATTATGGTACGGTTGGCAACGCTGTTGGGAGGATAGATAATCATAAGCTCTTCCTCTCCATAAAATAATGGTAATAACGGTACTCAACACTTAATAAATGAGTTAAAACCACTAAAACCAGTGTTGTCAGCTCAAAAATTCTCAATTTTTCAACACAATTGCTATCACTTGAACTTATAACCTATCTTGCAGTTACTGTCCAAACAGAATACCGAATTGCATAGCACTATTGTTATATTTTATTATCATAACAATATTGTTGTCTTAGCAATGTTATAACAAGATCCGAACAGAATCGACCCGATAGTTAAATTAATACCTTCAGAATTAGATATGCTGTTCTTTTCAATAAATAGGAAATAGTATTCCATCATACTGACATTATACATAGCTTTATACCATCAACAGTTAACACTTCATCATTTTCAAATTAAAATATTTTACCATGAGTACCCATTTAGTGTCTAACCTCAAAAAAGCTTCGTATAATACTACTTGGTACAAACAGTGTAACTAGCGCCCTCTATGAGTGCCAGATATAAAAATGAGTTCATGCGATGTGTCATCTTCCATCTTCCAGAACATATTCATACATAGCATTACAATGTTGCCAGTAGTTTCGAAATAATCATGAAAAATGTGTATAAAATTGTTTTTCAACACCTTGTATCTTGAAAATGGATGCCGTACCGAACTATTCCAGAGCAAACTCAATTTGCCGACTGAAAGGACATCTCAGGCAGCTCGACTTAGCAGAAGAAGATTAATGTAGGTTCTGTAGAGAGGAGGAAGAGACCTTTATCCACATACTCACAGAATGTCTCACCTTAAAGAACCCAAGGACAAGAAGGAGAACACATAATAGAGGAGGAGCTACCCTACCTAGAACCACCTCATATCCTGGAATTACTGAAAAATGCTATAGCTAGCTATAAACAACCTCATCGGATATGGCAAAGAAGGGGGCACAGTAGATCTTTCAAGTCGCAGTGTATGCACCCCTCATGCATACAATACAATATGGGTATATTCGAAGAAAGTAGTAAGAATCTTAACTTTATATTCATGAGCTAGAAGAAATCCAAAGAATAATTCTGCAAACTTGTCGTCGGAATACTTCTAGAGTGATTTCTGTTGCTTGTAGGACTTGATGATGAAGCGGCAATTTTTTGGGATTTTTCTAAATAAGTATGAAATATCGTGGATGAAATTGCAGAGTAAAAATCGTTTTTAGTTGATATAGCAAGATGTCACCGGTACGAATCCTCAAGACTTTGACGACTGAGAAAATCGAAGATTTCTGAAGAAATATTTCCTATTTGCCAAGAATATGACGATCCAAAACGAACGTTATCCACTATAAAAAAAATAAAAAGATGATAGTGCAGTGCAGTTTGAGGCACCAATATAACCTACTATCTAGACATATAGAATTCATATCTCAACAATCCGAATATCAACACATCACAATGGAAATCTAAAAATCATTTGAGTCTAACCACAAATAATGAGACGATACATACATTGGGTATGCGGTATTTTTTCTCAGGTTATACCAATTGGAAAAAAATAACTTAACATGAGTCCTGCTTCATTAGGACACTTCGTGTATCTGAACAAAATTTTGAAATATGTACCATGACCATGTATATCCTGAAACTTATATTTGGAATTTTATATATTGACCTTTGGCGTGATAATCACACTACACTGTTAGATGATCTAATTAGATGAATAGGGAAGCCTGAAAAGAGTTAAGAATAGTAATAGAAGTTATGAATAAGGATACACGACCTATCCTATATAGCCCTCTGTATAGTTTAGTGATTTAGGATTAGGATTAGCTTGTGAACTGAACCATGACAGACATGAGCAGATGCTTACAAAGTTAGCAAAACACCTGTCGAGGCGTTAAAAACTCGGTTTGGTTAGTAGTGAAACAGTGTAGTGTGGAATTTTCCACTAAGAAGAGGTCCAGCACGGGCCGCGAGTTTACTAAATATACTGCACGCTAGCACAAACCACGCCCACCATAATACGTCATATCTCCAAACATTACCGATATTCTCGGAGTCAGCACATCGCACTAAATATACTGTGCTCCGACGCAAGAATACACTTTTCATGATTTTGACACGAATTCGACCGAAGCTCTCTCGTTGTCAAGCTCTTGTACGCAATAAATTCATATACCCAAATGGTCTACTGGTTAGCGCTGTCGACTTTCAGTCTGAAGGTCCATGGTTCGGATCGCTGTGAACTTGAACTTTTTTTTTCACCAATGTTTTTTCACTTCATTCTGGTTTTCCTTTTTCGTAAAATATTTGAAGTCAAATAGGTTAGTGCGTTTAGGATAAACAGTCTCATTTTATTCAATGTTGTTGAAGAACTCAACTTTTGAAATATATTATTAATCAATGTGTTTCTACACTCCATTCGGTTTTCCTTCCTCAAAAATATTGCAATCAGGGATAGGTTAGTTCGTTAAGGATAAATAGTCTCTGAGATTTGCCTGAGTACTTCGAAGATGAGATATTACGGTGGGCGTGGTTTGTGCTAGCGTACAGTATATTTAGTAAAATCGCGCATGGGCCTGATGGGCTACCCAATTTGTATAGTACTTATAATAATTACTGATTTTTGCGTGTGATTGAAAAATCTAATTGATTTCAAATTACCAAATCGATATTTATAGCAATTAATTGTTAATGAATTTACCTCTGAAGTATCTGCGAACCCTACTCGAGAACGGCCTCTGCATATTTTACAGACCTAAAATTAGCAAAACTTAGTATGATTATGATATATTATATAGCTGATTAGTTAACATACCCTTACTTTTTCTTCTGCTTCTTTCAAACTACTTTCAAGCTCTATTAGTCTATTATTCAATATGTCTATCGTATTTGCTTTTTTCTAAAAGAACATGGAAACATTATAAGAGAACATCAAATATGATAAAGTACCTTATCCTCATCCTCTTGTACCCTCTTTGTTTTCTGTAAGGTATTATGTAGCTCTTCTATCGTACTATTCAACTTTCCAATTTCATCACATGTAACCTATAGACGATTTTTAATCATATGAAAATATTGTATTAGAATATGAATTATAAAAAAATTATGAAAGGTAGATCAAATGAAGGAATGGTTGAATGGAAAATAGGAAGTAACCCTTTAGTTAGACTACAGATATCGATAACTTACTGTTGTTGTAAGACTATTCTGTGTTTTCTGATCATCAAGATTTTTTAGTAAATTTCGATTCTGAAAATAAGATTATTATTTATTGAAAACTCATTATGGAAGCTTTTTCCTGAATGACTACCTCCTCATTGAGCTTACACAAATCACTCATTAGTTTTTTGTTTTCTTTACTCAGTTTTTCAATTTGACATGAATAGTTTTCCTGGAAGCATTATTTCAATTTCATAGGTAACTCTTACTAGGAAGTTCTCACCTTATTACATACGAAGTTGTTCAAATCTTCCTTCAATTGTTTAATTTCATCTTCCAATGAGATCTAAATAATAACTATGTTAAACAAGTATGAGTAGAAATGAAGAAGAACTTTACTTTGTCATTAATCTGATGTTCATACACAGATTGTAAATTTTCTGCTTTCATTTTCAACGCATCATTTTCTGATTTCAATTTAACGCTTTCTTCCAAAACGCATTTACATTGAATCTTGACAGTAACGTACTTTTCCTTCAGTTGTGTTTTATCTTTCAACTAAGTTGAATGAATAAGGATTATTTGTACTCAAAAATTATCAACTCATAACACATACGAACTCTTTAAATTGCTGTTCCAGGTCTCGAATTTGTGATTTATATTCCTTCACATTCAACTCCAAAGTAGTATTTTTCTTGTCTAAATCAAGATTCTGAAAAAATCCAAGTAATATGCTTAGTATGCGAAATAAAAACATTAAGAGAGTAAAAGTACCTTAGCGTGAAGCTCAATTCTCGTTTTCTCTAAGCAATCACAATTCTGTAACAGAGGTATCCTCAAATTTATGTATTGAATAATCAATTTTCAGAGTTTTGATACAATTGGTACTGTTCTCATATAAAATCTTTTAAAAAAACAATGGAAGTAGATACAAGAGTCTGATAAAAGTGCATTAAAATATATTTTCAAGTCAATAATTATACAATAAGTATACAGAAAAAATTGTATGTTTGATATAATTCTTATTGGTTCGGATGATCTTCATTCCTATGAGACCTTTTCATAAAGTTTCATCACTTTTCCAGTCTTCGCTAATACATTTTCGTGGTTAATTTCACACTGAATGAAAAATACGTTATCGAGGAAAACTTATAATTCAGGAAACCTTACGACAGACTTAACTCTTTCTTCTATGAACTCCAAACCAATATCGAATTTGAACAATTTCTTGACCATAATTTTTATTAAATCCAATTGCTCTTTCAGTTGCTTACGATTAATTTCTATAATATTGTTCAGCTGAATTATTTCGTTTTCCATAAAACTATACAAATTTTGTTTAGGAACTTCATCTGACAATTTGCTCATGTTTACGTTCACAGGTGATGAAATCAAAGAACCACTATATTTCAATAATTCGCTTTCGTTCTCCTGGAATTAATATAAAAAAATATTTCTCACTATTGCGGAAGTATTGTTAACCTTACCAAAGTTGCTAATTTCATTAATAATTTTATTTCCTTCTCTCTCAACTTGTCATTCTCCTGAAAATATGTCAAGACGTGTCTTTTCATAATATTAATAATGTTCATGAATTTTTTCAAAATTGATGCAATAAATAGATTCATTCATCTTTATTAACTTCAAGATGGTTAATATAAGTTTTAACAGGCATATTACTAGGTACAAAAACATTTCTCTGTTTCAATCTGGACTCAAAATCAACATTCTTTAAAGCATCGGCAGTACTCCCAACAAAAGTATTACATCTACTGAAACTACTATTTGTAAACTTTGAACGTTCTTTCACTGGCCTCAGAAGCTTTTTGAAGTCGATTAAGTCATTCTCAGACTTACACAAATGTAAACGACTTTCATCTCCAATTCTGTTTATTTTGCTGTTATCGCCACTTAATTGAACGTCATCTTCTTTCTCACTTTTTAATTTTTTTCTGCATTTGGAACAGTTAGAAGTGTGATCTTCAAATACATTTTTAACTTTCTTATCTTCAACCTTGTGATCTGAACCATGTTGCAAATATATGACCGTTGATCTTCCAGATTGTACAATTTTTTTCGTATGGTTTATCAATAGAACATGTTCTTTGTTGGAACTTTTTCTGACACATTCAGAAGGATTACTCTTGGAGGGTATTTCAGGAAGGGAAACCTAGGAGAAACGGGCATTACAAGGAAAGGGAAAATCTGAGTAGTTGGTGAGGGTTGATATACTCGAGGTGAATTTGAAAAAATCATTCTTTTACCTGTTGTTTCAGCTGCTTTATTTCCTTCCTCAACTCCTTGATTATGTCATCTCTGAAAGCTGTCTGCTTATCAGCTTGAATACATCGATCTTCTAATTCTTGGTAATCTTTTTTCAGCTTCAAAATAGTATCGTGCTTTGAAGCAACTTCTTCTGTCAAAGCTTGTCGCACATCAATGAGGTTCTGAAAAAAAATAAAGGTTAGATTAATGTCATTTTCAGTTATTCAATATTACCTATTGATCCAAAATTATTATTGGTTTGTAGCTAACACAATCACTTTTAGTACTCAAAGAAAATCAGAACTTATGGGTTTTCAATAATCTATCATCTACTAATTAATTACAGGATTTATGATTACAAACTTGAATATTATTAAGGCATTATGATGGATGAGCAATTCTTATAATATAAATTTACCTTTTGTAGAGCGTCACATTCCTGTTTTTTGGTTTGAAGTTCCTTAGACAATTCATTAACATCACCGAGTTTCAAATGTAGCTCTCGAATTGTACTGCAAAGTTTATAATAATCAAGATTATATCATGATCAGAATACGAATTGAAATAATTACCACTCTCGATCCTTTATTTTCTTTTCTTCCTGTGAAAAAATAGCATACATGAGAAGCTACATATTATTCAGTTTTATCATCAAGTGAAATTAAAAATGAGTCAATAAATATTTAAACAGAAAATGAAGATAAAAATTTTGAAAATCAACTTTGATCATTTTTCAAAATATTGAACTAGAGGCGTAACAACATACTTGAGTTTACTGACAGATTCAAATCCTTATTGAAACTGGTTAGGAAAGCAGAGTACGAAATACTTTATTTATATGAAATGCAAATGTTCAACAAATAATTTTTTTCTAAATCTGTTTTGGCGGAACTGACAAGTAGTGCCACACCTGCCACACTGCAGATTGGTTCACTTGTAGTACCGCTCTGTTGCGTATGAATGTTTGACGTTCTACTTTCGAACTTAGACCACTAGATGGCGTTGAATGACTTGAACATCTTGTATGGTCCGGTGTTCTATAAACTCATTTCCCAAAGGGGGATACATATCAGTTTTTCTACAATACCTCCCGACAACAGACCTTGAATATCAAATTCTTATTTATTACTAGGATATCCAGACAACCGTTTACATACTATTATCATCTCTTTTTCTCAAGAGATAATTTTCCGGAATAGAAATGGAATTGTACCTTGTCTCATTACGATGTCCTAAGCCTTTTTCAATATAATGTTTAGAAATCAACGTGCAATTATTAATCGGGCGAACACAACATTTTCCAATTGATCCTTTGTCACGTTAGGAAGGCTTTGGAATATAAGTTTGACATTCATCAAACAGTCCACCTCAGAGCAATAAAAGATATACAGATGCCTTCCATATCCAAATACTACACTCTGTTTTGACCAACATACATCTATCCTCTTCCACTGATGTCACAGCAGAAGGGGTGGAGCCACAGTGGAGGTAGGTGAATAAATATTTATAAACTACAGAACAAAACAATAAGAAGAAACCCGATGTGAGGTAAGTAATATCCCGATCATAATATTTAAAATTAACGAGCCCAGCGATGTCGGCTTCTAATCCACTATCATTCCATTATCTCTTAGAATTCAAGGAACAGGAGAAGCGGCCGATCTTGCAAAAGTTCAAGAACCCAGGATACCAACAAATTAAAAAAGTCGTGAATAAACAAGCCCGATATGTTCGTTTCATGAAAAGGGTAGAGATGGCATGTCTATATCTCGCTCTGAGAGTCAACTCGATTATAAATCAATTTTTTTCTGTGACTGGAAAAAAGTTTGACATTTCATCTCTGTTGACAGGTAATAAAATGTCACTTTTCAAAAATTACTTTTTTCCCGTGGGAAAAAAGTGAGTACTTTTTTCCCGGATACTCATAAGTATGGTAGATATTTGATTCAGAATATTTTATTAAACGAAAGTTACATTTCCTTCAAATCAAAAGTACAATTATTGAATGTGCATTGCATGAATGACACGTTCCTTGAAGTATTCGGAACAACAGTAGAATTTTCTCTCGTTGAAATTATATTTCTTTCTGCCATGGACACAACTGCCGTTGATGTACCTGGTTGCAAATGGGGTGTTATTTCGGCAATGCCACAAGTTCTGAATACTTTATTAACTATTTCTGTTCTGTGTGATTCCGATTCATCAACATATCCTTCAGCGACCGTTGATGACTCCCAACCGCCATGTTTCTTCAGTGTCAGCAAATCTCCCCCAGATTCAACTAAAAGTGTAGCAGATGATCTTCGAAATGAATGACCTGTATATGAGGTAGCATTTTCAAGTTTTAGAAAACTAGCTACTGTTTCAGTTACCTTGTAAAACTGATTTTTACCCACAACTTGATTGATACATTTTCCATTGCGATATGCATAAAACAGGCGGCGATCCTTTGCTGTTGCTGGACGCAGGGCTATGTATGTTCGGCAAAATTTAATATATTCTTCAGTAACTACAAATCTTCTGTCCACATCATTCTTTGTTTGCTTGAGTTTCACAATTAATATCGTTCCTGAATCTTCAATATCATCTAATGTTACCTGGCTGATTTCACAAATTCGACAAGCTCCTGCAATCCCGAATACAACAACAACTTTGGCCATTAAATATAAACTTCATCAGGAGCATTATTTAAAAATTCGCCAATTTGTGTACTCGTGAAAATCGCTGCTTTCTTGGGTTTGTAACCTTTCCTATTTTGTTTCAGGAATGTAATTAGTTTGGGATATTTTGAAATGTCTACATTATTATTGGATTGTAACATACTTTTAATCATTGAATAATTTGACCACACTGTTGATGGCTTTTGTTGCTGAGCCAGTTCGGAAAAATAGGCCAATACCACCGTTTCCGAGAAAGAATTGCATGACTTTTTCATTCTCCATTCCATGAATCTTGAATACGCGGTTTCGTAAATTTTCCGCGATTTAGCTGGCAATAATTTTTGTGACGCTTCTTTCGCTGCTTCAACTAACTCCGGTGGAGTAAGAGAAAACTCGAATTCAGACATTTAATATTATTCAAAATAACTACTAAATCACTATATAAGTTCGCAATGATTTTCAAATCAAAAATCAAAACACAAAATTACATTGACAGAATATAACAATAGAATGACATAGCAACACGATCACAATGGAGGTGTAAGAAGTACAAATTTCACATTGATAATTTTCTGATTATATTATGTAATATTTTTTCAATATTAAAGCGTCTTTCTTCCTGTCACAGAAAAAAATAGTGTATTATACACGGGAAAAATATTAGATTTTAGCACACGGTTTGTTGTCTCCCTCCGCTACGCGTCGGGAGACTACTACTTTTTTCCCTTGTATAATAAATAACTATAATTTCATTTCGAATTCATTACAAATTGTTGAACTGAAATCAATCATCAATTTGTCTATAGTATAGAAGATGGTAACTTTTGTTTTCGGATGTATTATTTGCCACAAAGAGGGACACTTTTGGGCCAGTGTATTTCAAAACTGTCTTTATCGACTTCGTACCAATATATCGTAGAAAAATGCATCGCACACTGGCAACGCATTGTAGCTTTTCAACAAACCCACTTTAGCTACTTGAAGGCGATCAAATGAACTAAAATGGTTTCGTTAATATTAATGTTCTTTATTGTTAATTTTACATACAAATGACCATCGACCGAGGTCCTTCAGCCATCAGAGACAAAATGACTTTTAGAATAGTGTTTGACCTTTTTATGATTCAGATGATGGAATGCTCCTCAAAGTCCTCTCCACATTATTTAATGATGTATGTAATCAATTATGGAGAAACAAGTTGCAGATTTGGAAAATTCCATCTTTAGCCTAAGTACAAAGAGTAGTGAGGGATGATTTTAAGCATGTTGAAAAAAAAATGCATGAAATGCCCTGTGCTTCTCCTTTGAGAAGCCACTGTTAATTTCGAAGCTATACAACCTTAAATCACACTATTTGTGAAAGTTCTCGAATTATTACTACCTTCAAAAATAACTCAATATGTAGTTGCTACGCCACTAGTTGAAACAATAAAAACATGTATAGTTATAATGTTAAATAAATAAATAAATAAGCTTCAAAACTCAATTACAACACCATAAAATAATGAAACATTCAAGAAAACCTTGTATTTAATGAAATTACACATCAAGCAACAAAAAACTTATATGCCACGAACACTCCATCAAGCAATTTTCTGTGCCTACCTTTTCATTATCACAGATTAAGTACCTGAAAAGAGATTGGCGTTAAAAACATGTGTACTAAATAAAACATGTGCCACCTCCCTGTTAGTAGATTTATTTGGTAGATGAAACTTATGTTGACCATACCTCTTCCTATGACCTCGTATTCAATATGGAATTGAAACATTGTGAATTATACAGGGTGTCTCACTTTAAACGCCCCTCCCCCCTTTATATCTCAGCTATAGTAGTGCGATTCTTACTTCACCGCATTCGAATAACTAACTAACAAAGGAAGGTTCGATAGCTAGGGTAGGTAGAAAATTGTAGTTTGGAAGGAAAAACAATATATACTTTTCTTAATGAACCCAGGGTGATCAGAATTCTGATTCTTGAACCACCTTGTATTCGTTCCAATTAAATGTCAGTAGATAGTTATTCGAAAGTTGGGATAATAATGAATAGTTTCCACACGAAAAAATCTTGAAAAATCTCGATTTTCAACAGTCTATAGCTCTGTAATAATTCCCGCTAGACTCGAAGTGTAATATATTGATGAAATGAGCTCATCAGGGAGAATCTAAAAATGCAATGAAACAAAAAAACAGCCAACCGAAAAAAACTCGTGATTTCCATAGAAACTCCGTCGTATGTGCTGCCCCACCCCACCCTGTATACAATCAACATAACACAACATAGTTGAAATTCAGTGCGATACAGATGAAATGCACAAATAAGATGTTATTTTGAGTAATTCAAAAACAACGCCCGTCGCAACTTATATTAAAAAATCATATTCTTCAAAAACTTACAAAAGAAAAACTGATTGTGATTTTCAAACGCTCTGTCTTCAGAATAATTTCAATAAACTAGGTGAACTGGATAATAATTAAACCATGTAGACAACAATCATGAAACCATATTTTGAAATTATCAACAAAGATGTTATTTGCGATAAACCGTAAATTTCCTTTTTTTATGAAATGACAATCGAACATGAAGAACTTCCAACTGCGTAGTTTCCGATAATTAACTAAGCAATCAAGCACTTGAAATGCAAAAAAAATCAGCCTACTTTTGTGAGAAATCATCAAATGGTAAATTAAATTATTCTCCATCTGACATAATTTCGCAAGGTTAGTCTCTAAAATATTTGGTGAATAATAAATTATCAGATAGATACATTACAATTATTACAGAAGAGCATCATTGGCCAATTTTCAGAATCCTTCAATAATAAAAAAATCAGTTTACTTAATAGAGGTCTGAAATTCAACTTACCACACAAGGAACCTCCCATAATAGATATAAAATCTGGTAAAGAGATCAATAATACAACATTGATTTGATTGAAATTGTTAGATCTCATAACTAAGAGATCCAGGATGAACAGAGTTGCCCAAATTGTCAGCAGGAGCGATACAGCACTGTTTCGACCCACCAGGTCTCATCAACTCTACGCTTCGGGTATATCACCCATTTCGAAGACGCAGGGTATAACATGATGTTATAGTCATGTTGTAGCCATCTAGTGGCAAAGCTTCAAGGTAGGATATAAAAATCGCGCCACACAATGTATGGCACTGCCATCTATAGTCACACGTACAGACCCCTACGTCTGTACGCTACAGAGTGGTACTACAAGTAAACCACTCTGTTGACAGATGGCACTACCTGATATATTTGAGTGGAATTTTTCCACCACCTATTCAACTGCTAGATCTCTTAGTTATGAGTTAGGAGTGTGTGTCGCGATTTCTGTATCCTACCTTAGAGCTTTGCCACTAGATGGCTACAACATGACTATAACTTCATGTTATACCCTGCGTTGATTGAAATTATTTATGGGGCACTTTGTGATAAAGCATTGTAGAAGTTTACCCTACCATCAAAAAACAATAATCAAAATTATAATACTTCAAGATGTTTTGGATCGGGAAAATTAGCCATTAGCCCAATTTTTAGCCAGACTATTCATTTCTGATAAATCTCATGAAACAGGACCATTTTTAATCTAAATTTGACACATTTATAAGAGGAAATCAAATATACAGGGTGATCCACATTTGAGTAATAACGTACGCGACATTTTTTCAAATGGATCACCCAAAATTTCTGGGACGAAATGAGGATAATCATCTCGCTCTGGAAAATTTGAGATACTACCACTAAGAATGTTCTGAAAAAAATGTCAGGGGACGAGCGTGGTTCCAACCCCCCTACAATTTCTTCTGGCTTTCTTTGATTACTAAAAGGAAGGTAATCCTCTAAAATGCAACTTTGTCAGATTTCATACAAATTGTTTCACTCATTTTCGAACAGTGTACAAAAATGTGTTTTTTAAATATGAACTTTGAACTCGCCTCATGAACAAATGGTACATTTTGTTATGAAAATAAATTGGGTCCAATCAACTTATTTTGATATGTATTACACGTGATAGCTCTGTGTCCCAGTAATTTTGGGACATCCTGTATTATACAATGTTTCGGAATCTCCATGAAAAGCTGAATTCAAGCATATATCGGAGCAATGTATAGGGTATGGAAAGCCCTTTTCAATGAGGTATCACTTGACCCATATTGCCATTTGGAAAAAATTGGGGGATGACACCTCCGCTCAGGGAGGTTTCGCTATGCTTGTTGCATGATAAGTTGTCTCTCAGCCTTTTAAATGGGCCACCCTGTATAAAACGCCACCAAACATGCCTATTCAGTGGATTTTTAAACAACCCGATTTGTAACAAAAACGAAAAAAAAAATCAAAGGCGATTCTCGAAAAAAATCATAACCAGTGACTGTCACCTGGAAGGATTTTCTCCCAAGAACGTACGAACAAAACTTTTATACCTAATAAAAAAATTTCAATTTTCTATAAAATGGTATAGGAAGAGGTAAACTTTTGGATGCACATCATATTTTCAAAATACCTGTCACATTTTTCTTTCCAAAAATCTTCTCCATTTTCATCTCCAAAAAGATCTCGATGAGTTATCTGAAAAAATGTCAAACCGCCCATGCTCCATTCATTTTCTACACGTATACGTCTTATGAATTCCAATAAGTTCTTCTTGTCATTTTCCAAGTGAAATATTTTCTCTTGAGGTTCTTTGAGTAGGTCGTTGGTCATGTCATTTTCTCTATACCTCTTCATAACCTAGCAAGAAACATAGATCAATGAAAAACTGAATTCCAAAAGAAACAGTCGACTTACAGGATGGAAACGATTTGTTGCCATTTTTCTTCATTATTCGAGGACTATATTTAGGGATTTTTCAACTTCGAATATTTCAATAATATCATTGATAATAATTTATAAGTTTTGAGTTTGATTTCTCACTTTGTTTATAGATACACACCAGTTCGGATGAGTGAACAGACTTTCGAATTATCATATTAAATTGATTTAAAACTATCAAACCACTTAACAAGAACTACAAAAAGTGTTTACTTACTGGCGGAGTACTCCACCGAGTCGAACGCTGGAGCCACCTGGTGCAAAGCGTACAGGGTGTTTCAAAATTCAGTGACAAACTTTCAGAGTTTTAGTTTGACAATGATTCATTACCGATCTACAAAGCGTTAAAGTTTATCATTTCATAAAGCCTTTGCAGACGCATGCTTGTAGGAAAAAAGTTTTATTTTGACCTGAAAAATAAGCCCACAAAATCTTGACACTGAATTTTGAAACATCCGACATTGTAAAATTAAGGTGAGGGGTCAAGATTATTAAGCACATATTTTTTCGCATTTTCGCTGATGTTTGATATAGTCCAACGAATACCCCAAAATATTAGATTTTTTATAATTCTCCTAATCAATGAGAATATGCATCCCGAGAATAGAACCAAATACGAAAAAAAAAATCAGGTATGCCACTTCAAGGCAATTTAAATGATGTTGCCTACCGCACTGCAATTTGAACAGATGCAACGTCAGAATTGCTACAATGTAGAACTTTGGGTGGAAAAATGGACACATCAGGGTGTCCACGTAGTGTGGAAAAGCTTTATAGTTCCATTGCAATAAGAAATGGACAAAATCTTTTTGGGGATATGGAACTATATCGTAGGGTCAACAAATCTCTACAGGATATTAGTTGAACGCGGAGCTACATGAATTATGATTTTTTTAAATGGAACACACTGTTTTTTTTATATCATTATCGTGTCTTCACAGTAATGTCTTGTCTTTACAATTCTTTTGCAGCGTTGCCAAATCAATTGAATTCGAAAAATTTTAATACACAGATGTTGATTCCAATATGCCTGCTGATCTTAATTTTCAAATTTTTTATGCAAATATATGCAAGAGCTTCGATGATACTTCGACTAACGCTTCAATGAATAACCATTGAGAGTTATCTCACAGGGTGATTTATAATGAACAGCCAATGTTGTCCTTCTCGAAGGGTCGTAACTTTATTTCAATGAAACACCCTGTATATTTCAATAAAAATGCATTCCATTTCTCATTCTCTTTCATCTGATATCATGTATTGTACAGCCTGAACCATTTTCGATATCCTTACGGGATATCTCACTTATTTCAAAATCAAAATAAGCTGTTATTATTCACCCAAAGTTATGTTTTTTTCAATGGAACGCCCTCTATATGTTTTCATATTTGAAACATTGATGCTTTGCGCTTTCCTAAACTATATAACACTTAAACGATATTTTGAGTATTAGCATTGAATTCAGATCATTTACAATTTTTTAGTATATTCCTTATTAATCCGCCTTGTAAAAGTGTGGAAATATTCTTATTATTTCAATATTATGAATTTTCATATTCACCCTGTTGCTGACATTCAGAAGAAAGAGCTCTACCGTTTAGGAAAACAAAATACAGGGTGTTCCTTTTGAAAAATACCAGTTTATGTAGAATATTCAGGTTTACGAAGCTTTTTTTACGTTCATTTTGCCCATTTTAACGTTTCTGTAAGACCAATATCAACTGAGATAGCTATTGAGAGTAAAATATAAACAATCCACTTGTACTGTACCCCCAAAATGATTTTGTCTATATCTTATCTGGAGGTATAGAGCTCTTCCACTCTACGTGGACACCCGGTATGTCAAAGGGGACAACTTTTGGGGTATTTGTTGCTATACACGGTGTTTCGCGGTGGATGGTACATTAGAAGTAGATATATGGAGAACCGAACGACAAACCAGTCCGAAAAGTTGTGGGCGTATGCTCTATTCGACTGAAATATTTTCATCAATAGAGTGTTGCCGCTTACATCAGAAAGTAGTAGCTACTTTGTTATTTCAAAAGGAACACCCCGTATATTATGTCATTTTCGGAATCCTTATAAAATTCCTCAATACTTTTCCCAATAATTCCCTATACCTATATGTAATAGTTTACGTGATAAAAATTATTTTGGTAATTTTTTTTTGCAAAAACTAACCCAAGAAACGATTCTTTCACAATGCGAATTCACGGAACATTGTAATTCTGGTCATAGCTGCATATTGAGTAATAATAATAATAATCATTTATTTTCCTTCGGATAATACAATTCTGCCGATCACAGTTTCAGCGTATAGGGAAGCTCAGAATCAACTTCCTCTCGGGGACTCATGAAAATTACTGAAACTCGGATACTATTACTTATTTGGATAGTTGAGACATTTTACCACTTAACTGTGTAAGTCTCCTATACTTATCTTGTACAGTTTGTTATTTATGATAGTTTTCAAGTTATGAAATTATCTTCATAGTGATTCAGATAGTAGGCTATGAACTTCATTCTGATACAGAACTGACATATTATAATTCCTTTATTGTCATCCTGTGAATTCAAGTTCCATAGGTGAGAAATCAATATGGCAGAAAATAATTAATCAAATGTGATTTCAATAGATTTATTCATAATTTATGTTCAATGTAACAAGAATGTCAACAGTAGTAATAGTCATCAAATCAAATCAAAATATGCTTTATTGTCGGAAGATTGGTATCTTATTGACAAAGTCTTGTATAAAAAAAAAAACAAAATATCAGATATGTATAAATATAAAACACATGTCACAAAACAATTAATAAATGGGTAAAATTGAATTAAATAAAATAAACAAAGAATACATTCACATCTGCATAAAAATCAAGTTATAATTTCCAGGTTATCACAGTAAAATTCATTGATTGAATAATAAGCCTTTTCGATTAATATATCTTTAATCGAACTTCGGAACTTTTTGATATCTGTAATATTTTTTAGATTAGTAGGAAGGTGATTGTATACTTTAATACTTCCATAAATCAGAGAATGTTTAGTCAAAGCAAATTTTGGAATGGGTAGATGAAGCATATGGTTCTGTCTAGTACTATGACAATTTGTTCCGGGAGTGTACATGCTAGTTTTATTTTTATGAATTAAGCATACTGTTTCCATTATGTATAAACAGGTGACAGTTAATATTTTGTGGCTGATGAATAAAGGCTTGCAGTGATCTCTGAATTTAGACTTTGTAAGGTATCTCAATGACCTCTTCTGAAGAGCAAATATCGTATTAAGTAACTGTAGATTACAATGGCCCCAGAAAGCTATTCCATAGCGAATATGAGATTCGATCAATGCAAAGTAAGCTATTCTAGCCGTAGTATACCCTAGTTCATTTGATATTACTCTAATTGCATAACATCCACTAGAAACTTTTTTACTCAAATGGAATACATGTTCTTTAAAATTTAATTTATTGTCTATATAAATGCCTAGGAATTTAGAGTGCTCTTTGTTTTCTATGTAGCGGTTCTCCAATTCTAAATCGTCTAGTACACATTTGAAAGTAACTAGCTTTGTTTTGTTTAGGTTGAAGCATAAAGAATTCGCGTTACACCAGGTTTGAATTTTTTGAATATCTATTTTTATCATATTTGATAGCTGATTAATTTCTTTATGACTCCATATAATAGTGGTATCGTCGGCAAATACAGTGAATCGTCCTGCGATGTCAATGGTTATTAGGTCATTTAAATAAATTAAAAACAACATTGGTCCTAAAACAGACCCCTGAGGTACTCCATGTTTTATGTCACTTATATCAGACTGTCCACTTGATGTTTTCACAACCTGGCGACGTCCTGACAGATATGACCCGAACCAGGTCAAGTTTGTTCCTCTTATACCATAATGGCTGAGCTTCCGCAGCAGCGTTTTATGATCAACGCAATCGAAGGCTTTCGAAAAATCACAAAACACTGCTGCAACAGCCCTGCCACTATTTATGCTAGAGTATGCATTCTCTAGAAAGGAGAAAATAGCATCTGTGGTGCTTTTCGAACTTTGAAAGCCGAACTGAAGACTAGATAGCACATTGTTTATCGATAAGAAGGACATTAATCTTTTTTTCACTAATCTTTCAATAATTTTTGAAAGGGTCGATAATAAAGAGATGGGCCTGAAATTTGAGGGATCCTCCAGATCTCCACCCTTATGTAATGGAATTACCATTGCTATTTTCAGACAAGTCGGAAATATGCCACTCCTGAATGATTCATTAATGCATTCCACCAAAACATGTAATGCACTTAGAGGTAGATTTTTAAATATTTTTACAGATATTCCATCTATACCCGCCGAATTTTTATTTTTTATTTCATTGATTATCTGTATAAGCTCATGCACATCGGTATCTGTAAGAATGAAGTTGTCAGCAACATTTACATTATTTGGATATTCCAGGGGGTCACAACTGGCTTTTATGTTCTCTTTCAGTTTTTCGCCAATAGAACAATAGAAATCATTGAGTTCATCTGGAGCTAGGTTAATTTTAATCGGATTTGCCTTATTATTACCTCTAAGATTATTAACTATGGACCAGTTTTCTTTTGTTTTATTGTTGGCTGTTCTGATTCTCTCTTCATAATATTTATCTTTAGCCCTTTTAATAATTTGCCTATAAATACTCCTATATTTATTAAAATATTTTAAAAAGCATGCATTATCAGTATACTTCCTAATTGTATGTAATGACCTTAGGTTGTTTCCTGAATTTTTTATGCCAGTTGTAATCCATGGTTTCTTATATTTTTTTATTTTCTTTCGAAAATGTTTGTCATAGTATTATGAAAAACAAGTAAGGGTTCTTCATCATCTAGCAAACTATTCCAGTTAATCATTTCACAACATTCTCTGAATTTATT